ACCTTTTTCTTCTGTGCCAGTTCCTCTTCTGATTGAGGAGCAATTTGTTCCTTTCCAGTGAGGGTCATTTCAGTGTGGCTGGTGGATCTCCTATTTGGGTGGATCCAACTGTGAGCTTTGTCAGTCCAAGAGCACGTTTGGGGGGCATTGTTCACCTGGATGTGCTCAATGACCAGAGAATCCTCATGTAAACCCCCAAGTAAAGCATTACTTTCTGGATTTTCCAGAAAGTGTAGCAGAAATTCAACACTCTTTTTGGACTGCCAACCTTGTGTACTTCAGAACTATCTTAACTATCTTGGTCCCTGGCTCTGCTGTATAAAATTTTTAAATATTTTTATCAGGCTAAAGAAGTGTTTGAATGCTTTTTGGAATTATATTGAATCTCTAGATAAATTTGGACAGAATTTAATTTTAAATATATTTTACAATATAGCTCTATTTAATTCTTCGTTAACATCATTAATAGTTGAATCATTTTCTCCATAAAGGTCTATGTACCTTTTGTAAGATTTATTCCTTGATAGTTCATATTTTTGTTATTATAAATAGTTCTTAAAGTTCATAAATAGTAAATAGAAATAGAAATGTATAGAAATGGAACTAATTTTTGTAAATTAATTTTCATCCTAGCAACTTAAATTCTTATCCTTATTGGTTTATCCGTGGATTGTTTTGTATTTTCTACACAGACCTGTTTATTAGCAAATAATGATAGTTTGGGTTCTACTTTAGAATTAAAAGAGAAGAGAAACTCGGGGGTGGGGGTGGGGGGGGAAGGTCAGTTTAAAAAATGTGAGCTGGTGCATTGTAGCAACGATGAAACATACAACTTTCCTCTAGTTCCTAAATGCTTCCCTCCCCCCCACACACATACACACTATCATGATCCCAATACTACCTTACAAATCCATCTAGACCAGAGGATGTACAGTGGTACAGATAGGAACTGGAAACAGGGAATCCAGGACGGATGATCCCTTCAGGACCAGTGGTGAGAGTGGAGATACCGGGAGGGTGTGGTGGAAAGGAGGAACAGATTACAAGGATCTACATATAACCTCCTCCCTGGAGGACGGAAAACAGAAAAGTGGGTGAAGGGAGACATTGGATAGTGCAAGATATGGCAAAATAATTTATAAAAATTATCAAGGGTTCATGAGGGAGTGGGGAGCGAGGAGGGGACAAAATGAGGAGCTGATGCCAGGGGCTTACATGGAGAGCAAATGTTTTGAGAATGATGAGGGCAATGGATGTACAAATGTGCTTTACACAATTGATGTATATGGATTGTGATAAGAGTTGTATGAGTCCCTAATAAAATGATTTTTTTTAAGTGAGCTTGGTAGCACACATACAGAAAGAACACCAGAGAAATACAAACAACAACAAAAAATGTTAGTGGCTTATTTGGGGTTAAAGAATTATGGATACGTTTTTCTTTTTTAATCTATCTCGTACTTTCCAGTTTTTCCAAGATGAGTATGTCACTTTCATAACCAAGAAACAAACTAAACTTAAAATAAAATAAGTCTAAAAATGTTAAGGACCATCTTGCAGAGAAGTAAATAAGCCCACATGGAAGAAGCACACCAGCCTGTGTGATCCCATGAGGTATTGACAGGAACAGGTTATTAAGTATCAAAAGATCCAAAACAATTATACCGATGTGAATTGGGGTTGGAGTGGAGACCCAATGCTCTCATATAGACAGTTGAACATCCCCCCCACAGAAGGGTTACAAGGAAGGGACAATTCAACCAGGATGCAGTTATATGTAGATCCTTGTAATCTGTTCCTCCTTTCCACCCCATCCTCCCTTCACCCTCCCGGTGCCACTCTCATCACTGGCCCTTAAGGGATCATCCGCCCTGGATTCCCTGTGTTTCCAGTTCCTATCTGTACCAGTGTACGTCCTCTGCTCTAGCAGTATAGTACCAACGAAACATACAGCATTCCTCTAGTTCCTGAATGCCCCCCACCCCCACTACCATGACCCAGTTCTACCTTACAAATCCAGCTAGACCACAGTACACATACTGGGACAGATAAGAGCTCTCAACGCAAGGAGTTCAGGACAGATAAAACTCCCAGGAACAGGAGTGGGAGTAGCAATGTCTTGAGGGGGGAAGGGATGGTCGGGGAGGAGCAAGGGGGATAAAGGGGAAACCCATCATAGGTTGGATATATAGCCCACCTCCCAAGGGAACGAATAACAGAAATGTGGGCTAAGGGAGACAACGGACAGTGTAAGACACGAAATAACAATAATATATAATTGATCAAGGATTAACAAGAGGGGGGGAAAGAGTAGCTGATACCAAGGGCTAAGTAGAAGGAAAGTATTTTGGAAATGTTCATGGCAACATATGTAGAAGTAAGCTTAATACAATTGAATGATGGCTTGTCATAAGATTTGTAAGAACCTCCCAATAAAATGATTAATTTTAAATAAATAAATAAATAACATTTCAAGGTAAGGATCTACTTTCAAAGGCCCAGTTAGTAAAAATTATCTCTGAGGTGTCTGGTCTTCACCCAACTTCGCCAGTGCAGGGCCAGCTGGCCTCTGAGGCACAGCCATAGACCCATACAGGTCAGATGAAAGAGAATCTGGATTCATGGAACTTTCCTTCCCATTAACAGCATGTCGGATGCAATACAGTCAGCCTGTATTTCATTTGTTTGTCTCGAGTGTATATTTTTGCCCCTCTAGTGATAACTTAGGGCCTTTTCATACCAGCATGCCCTTACACTCAGCTAATCCTCAGCGGGCACTACTCTCCCCAGTGTACAGATAAACAAATCCCCAGCAGGTCAGCAAACCCTCTTCCTATGGCTGTTCTCCTCGCACAGTCTGGCACTTCGTCTCCATCATGACACTCACTCATCAGAAGGACCCTTCTTCTCTGTCCTGTGATCCATGAGACTGTGCTCTGATCTTACTCTCTCTGCCTACCACAGTGCCTGACACAGAGCTCAATACATAGCTATCTAATACTGAACCAATTTAGCAGGGAATTTACTTTAAAAAGGAAAAGAGCACAACGAAATGTATGATTCATGGCCTTAGGGAAATAGAAATCTCAGGGTAAGAGATACTAGAGAAAAATGCTTGAAAGCAAAATGGCCTTTGTATCCACCTCCTCTGACCTAATACACTCTTCATGTGGTAGAAGGCATATCATTTTAGTACTACATAAAACTATGAGGCAGCTTCAAAAACCTCATGGGAAAATGGAAATAAAAGATAATACAATTTTTCCATGAACTTTTTATTACCCCTTTTGTTAATATTCATCTAGGTGACAATTGCATGTAGTTGTTAATTGAAGCAGCTGTACATTGAGCTGTAAAATTCAAACTGTACAAAATAAGTAATTCATAAAACTTTTAAAAATTTTCAAAGGAGGATTTTGTGTTCTGAATAATTTTCCCAATAATAGTTTTATAGACCTAGAACCATTTTAGCTGTTTGCAAGTGCCCTAAAGATGTAACTTTAGGGGAGTGGGGAGCAGGGAGAGGAACTGATACCAAGGATTCAAATAGAAAGTAAATGTTTAGAAAATGATGATGGCAACATATGTACAAATATGCTTGATACAATTGATGTATGGATTGTTATAAGATCTGTAAGGGCCCCCAGTGAAATAATCTTAAAAAAATAATGCTCAAAAGTCAATAGTAAATAAACTATCATTTTAAAAGATTAAAAAGTTAAACAGTTTTAAATAAACAAATTAATTTTAAAAAATAAATTTTTAATTTTTAATCATTTTATTAGGGGCTCATACAACTCTTATCACAATCCATACATACATCAATTGTGTAAAGTACATTTGTACATTCATTTCCTTCATCATTCTCAAAATATTTGCTCTCCACTTAAGCCCCTGGCATCAGGTCCTCATTTTTTCTACCTCCCTCCCCGCTCCCCCCTCCCTCATGAGCCCTTGATAATTTATAAATTATTATTTTGTCATATCTTGCCCTGTCCGACATCTCCCTTCACCCACTTTTCTGTTGTCCCTCCCCCAGGGAGGAGGTCACATGTAGATCCTCGTAATCGGTTCTCCCTTTCCACCCCACCCTCCCTCTACGCTCCCAGTATCACCACTCAGACCACTGGCCCTGAAGGGATCATCTGCCCTGGATTCCCTGTGTTTCCAGTCCTATCTGTACCAGTGTACATCCTCTGGTCTAGCCAGACTTACAAGGTAGAATTTGGATCATGATGGTGGGGGTAGGGGGAATAAAAATTTTTTAAGATGTAGCTTTATGATAGAAGTCATGGGCTGAGAGCACTTGCTAGAAGATCCATGAAGGACATAACAAGGTCAGGGAAAATTGAATTGAAAGACAATAGACTTTTTCCATGAACTCTTTGAAGCCCCCGGTCTTTTCTAATATATTGAGAATACAGTCATTTTAGAAAATCCCATTAATTTTGCTACTTTGGTGAATAAATCCAATACTCATTGAGGGCTTCCCTTGCTCTTGATATTGGGCAAGACTCACTGTGTGAAAGTGAAGAAAATCACTTTTCAATCTAGTGGGAATAGCTGTAGACATCGTGTTTTATATTCTTTTTTTATTCTTACATTGTTTTGTGGCTAAATGTGAGGAAAGGAAGTCTTATGTCATTATATTAATCTGTTCAATGACTGTACCCAAAACTTTTTTTCCCCTCTAGTAGCCTACACTACCTTTTGACAGACTTTAATGGGACAGAGGTCTCATATATTCAACTGCTTTCACTGAGGGCAGGAGCCTCTTCCTGGTTGTCATTTGTAGCAGGTGTTAGGAGCAGTGTAAAAGAACATTATGGGGGAAAGGAAATGTGTTTTCTCCTCAGAATTGTGGACGATATGAAAACGAAAAATATGCTTTCTCTGTATCCACTCAATACCCAGTAATCTGTTGACACTGCACTCAGGCGTCTCTCTTCAATACTCGCATGCGTGTTTAAAAAGATGAACTCCTCTTTTCTCATTGGCAGGTGTCCTGGTAGACTTGGGTCTGGAGGAAAATGGGACAGCTCATCAGAGAGCAGAGAAATATGTTGTTCGTCTGGACAATGAGATTCAAACCAAGTTTGATGTTTTTATGAGAAGGGTGAAGCAGAACCCATCCACCCTGTTTGTGCTGGTCCATGACAACTCCCATGTGGAACTAACGAGGTGATTGCTTCAGAGTGAGCAAGTACAGTATTTTTCCTACCGCAGTGGTGGTTACATAATCATGTCCAAGAATCCTAATAGCCCACATCTTCTACTGGTAACATTTCTACCATTTCCTAACTCTCAACTCTCAAACACAGACTTAGTGTTGATTTTATTTAGTTAGATTCTGGATGAATTTAAATGATTCTGACAGAAATGTTGTCCTGCAGAGCATTTGGGGACCCTGCTGCTTCAGAAAATGAGTGGTAATGAGGAGGCTGAGACTAATGAGCTCCTGGAAGAGAGATTTCCTTTCCTTCTTACACGCTTTCCTCCACCTCAAGTCTTTTCCTTCCCGTTTCTCTGGTTTTTTCCCTCCCACTCTGGCACTTTCTCCTTCTCCTTGTGTCTCTTTTCTGGCCTTTCACAGCAGCAGACCCTTAAATGGTCCAAACCAAAAATTGCCATTAGGCCAGTGCCAACTCATTCATCTCAGCCTTATAGGACAGGGTAGGACTGCCCCTGTGAGTTTCCAAGACTGTACCTCTTTACAGGAGTAGAAAACCCTGTCTTTCTCTTTCCCATGGAGCAGCTGGTGGTTTCAAACTGCTGACCTTGCAGTTAGCAGCCCAGTGCATAACCAGTTCACCACCAGGGCTTCTTCTTAACTGGCCAGGCTGCGTTAATGAATAGATGGCCTGGGAACCATCTGTTAAAACCAAAAGTTTCTCCAGTTTACAGTCTGCCAGATTTCTTCCAGAGAATGCCATTTTTCTTCCGTGGGCACATCTTTGAAAGAACAGTAAATAAGAAGGGTGGAGCCATTTTTGCTCAGATGAAATCTTAATTATCTGGAGCTTGGGTGGTGCTGCATCTTTGCTCCTATGGACTAAGAAAGCACATAATCTTAGAATGCCACATATTGTGGGTTGTCCTCACCATGCTGTTGCTAGCTGCCATTGCATTGATTGAGGGCCACAGTAACGCCCTGTGCCCCATAGCGTTTTTCCTGGCTGTGATCTTTATAGAAGTAGATTGCCAGGCCTTTCTCCCATGGTGCAGTGGGTGGGTTCAAGCTGCCAGCCTATTGGTTAACAGCTGAGTGCTAACTGTCAGCGCCACTGGGATCCTTCCTCACTATGTAAGGAAAGGGAAAATTGGAGGTACCGTAAAACATTTATAGACTTCCATTTGGACAGGTTGCACTGAGGTTAAAAAAAAAATCTCCTGTACGTTTGTTTTTGTTTTTGATTTTTGGTCTGTGGCAGAAGCACTTGTTTTGAAGCCAGTCTGTGTTGGCACTCCATAATCTGAAATGTTAAGCCATAGGTAGGTATAAAGAAAATTTGGGATAACTTGTGAAATTTGGTGTAGAAAGGAAGAAAATGCCGCTACAAGAGTTCTCTGAGCAGAGAGAATGCCCTGACCTTATGTCCCTCATCTTTGAAAACTCAGAGATACACGCTGTGGAACCTCTAAGGATACATCCTGGGTCTCTGGGTACTTGATTTATTCCCCAGGGCATCAGGATTATTTCTATGAGAAAACAATGTGGGGATCGGAGGCAGCCTGGCCACCTGGGACAACCAAATGAAGCGAAACTGAGGATGACTAAGACGGGGAAATCTTTGTCATGGACAGGGCAGACTGGTGTCCAGGGAGACAGGAGAGTGCTTCTGCACAGTGGGTATCCCTCCCTGCTCTGGGCCTCTAGGACACAGATTGTTGCCAAGGAGTTAAGCACCATGTTTTAATGGAGAAGCTCCCTCATTTTGGTGAGCTTCTGAAATCAAGTGGATCCTTCTCAACTATTTGGAGGTATAACAAGAGCAAACTGAAAAGGGAGTGGAGGTGCTATCCCTGAAACAGCTAAGAAGGAGCCTAAGTTTTTTCTTTTCCAAATAAAATTTCAGTTGTTCCTACTCCTGTGCCTTGTGTAAAAGAGCTAGAAAAATCAGAACTAAAACAATATGTCCATTTGGGTGCCTGCTTCTGCATCTAAACCATCAAAAAAGAAGGTGACCACTTGACTTTCGACATTTCTTCAGTGTCATTTCAGGATCCCTGTCTCATGGTGAACCCAGTCATGGATTGGCTGATAGAGTCATTAACTGCAGAGAAGTTCTAGAAGCTTTTAACCTCCTGGTGCTCCAGGTGAGCTCCTTCCCATACACTCTGCAGACCCAGCAGTCTCGCGTCAGCTCTAGCAATGAGGTTCACTGGATACAGCTGGACAACATGGTGAGTCTTCTGCTTTCTACTGCACAGCTACATCCTCAGTGCCCTCAGAGGAAGAAACGTGTGGTAAAATATCGTCATGACGGTGAACTGTTGCAAAAGGGTTCAGAGATGTAACAAGCACAATGCAATTTTCAAGATTTACTTTCTTATGTCTACTCATAAGGTTAAGATTGATTAATGTCATATATAAATGCTTAGGTGGTTCTTTTTCAGATTGTCATGCTTATAGAAAATTATTCACCCTATTTATGTTTGAACAAAGACAATGTATTAAATTATTACTGACTAAATTATGTCAATTACTTTCATTCTAGGGTCAAGAACTTTTATTGTCCTCTTTGATGTATTCTGATCACGTTTTAATCTTGTTGGCCTGTTTAACTCTGAATTGCTCTCCTGCCCCTCAGCCACTTGATCTTTCTCTTTGTTCCCACCCTCCAGTGGTTGAAATGGAGGATGATGGTACTATTCTCTTAAAGCTTAATGTGTTCAGAGAAGCCATCTCAACATTGTACACATTGTCTTCTTCAAACATCTAAGATCTTTCAAAGAGCACACAGAGAACTTACGGTTTAGAGAAAACAATGTGTATATCTAAGTCATTATTATCCAAAGTACAATAAAGGCACTTTTTAAAACAACGGTGCTCTGGCAGTTGCAGTGAGAGGAAGGGCACACCCATTTCAGAGGCCCAGGGGAGGTTCCACAGATGAGACGTGTGACCAAACAGCAGGGCAGATGAGATGAAAGAAAGACTTCCTGGCAGGCAGAAGCCAGACAGGGTCATAGAGGAGGTCATTAGGTATTTTTTTCAGACAACACTTAGTAAGGTGCGAAAGAAACCTAGATATAGACACATGAGACTCCAGTTCTAAGGCTGGCAAAGTTTGCAGATATTATACAGGCATTAAGAAGCACTGGGGCATAGTAGGTTACAAGTCAGGCTGCTAATTGAAAAATCATCAGGAGGCTTTCTGCTCCTGTAAAGATTTGCAGCCTCGGAAACCCACAGGGACAGTTACTATGAATTGGAATCAACTCAGTAGCAGTGAGCTTGGTTTTGTTTTTTGATACAGGCATTAATGTATGTGTTTGTTTACATGTTTCTTTAAGAAGGGGGGGGGGACTCCCCAGCCAGTCTATTCTGATGCTTAGTAACCTTTCATGGGTTTTGTGAGGCTGGCAATCTTTATAGGAGCAGAAAGCCTCATCTTTCTCCCAAGGACCCAGTGGTGGGTTTGAACCACCAGCCTTGCAGTTAGCCGTTCAAGGCTTACCTGACAGCACTCCCAGGGTATGCAACAATATTTTCTCTGTTTTCTTTAACTCTTGCCTGCCTATCCATGTCTTCCCCTGTCTCCACTGATTTTTGCCTTCCCTTCACCCAAGTTAAGACATGTCAATCTTCCAGGCAGTAACTTACTCTCCCTTTGACCCCCTCCCCTGGTAACCATCAAAGAATATATATTTAGCGTGCAAACCTATTTTTGACTCATAGTGGCCTCCTACAGTTACTGTCCATTTGTGATTGACTCATTTCACTCAGCATACTGTCCTCCAGGTTCATCCATGTAATGAGGTATTTCACAGATTCATCTTTTTTTTTTTTAATCATTTTATTGGGGGCTTGGACAACTCTTATCACAATCCATCCATCCATTGTGTCAAGCACATTTGTACATTTGTTGCCATCATCATTCTCAAAACATTTTCTTTCT